CTGCAGAGCTATCGCTGCGTGACACATGCATTATTCACGAAACAAGGCTTACGATTTTTTTCCCTCTATCTGCTCCTTTTTGATTATTTTTATCCTGAGAACCTTATCCAGATTCGGACTAACAGGCAAACATTTTTACCACGAGCTTCTACCAGAATCTGCTGTATCTCAAAGTCGAAGCCTGTCCCGAACCTAAGGCAGCTTATATGTCTGATTTTTTCCATCCTCACAACCAGTTTTGTAGCTTCAAAGACAACAGAGGGAGATAAATGAAAATGACAAATGTCTCTGGAAAACGTTTCATTGTGTCATCAGTGCAAAGAAACTGCCGGAACTCGACATCCTGTTCTAAATCGTTTGAGAACAAAGATGCGGCAAACGTCTCTAAAAGTAAAAGTGAAATGTCCCACTGTTTCTTGTACATGATTTACTTGCTGCCACAATTAACTCCCTTTATTCTTTACTGGGATTCATAATAGCTGCGCCAGTCAACCAGAGGATATGGTGCCTGGCAGTGACATTGAAGGTGACCATTCTTTACCCGCCAACAAAATTAATTCCGCACTGGGATTATTAATAACTGGGTCATTTGGAAAAGTGGGGCTGACCAGAATCTTAAGAGGCAAAGTTGAAAGCCTCTGTATGGAATCACATCTGGCCAGATGCGTAGCTAATTCCGCTGCACAGCTAAAGGCCTGCTAAAGCTAGATTAACCCAAAAATCTCAAAAAAATGAGCTAAAACACATACACACAATAACCGCGAGCAGGAACCAACTGTAATAGGCTAAATCCATCATTTTGTCTGCGAAAGAACCTATGCATCTTCCTCCTTGTGCAACTTATGCCTTTGGCTGGCTTCCAGAAGAGTTCTTTGTGATCCCAGCAGTGTGAGGTCACTGGGACAAAGCTGGATGCCTGATATTACTTGTGTGACTGACGACCTGTTTATTTTTAGACCCAAACGCCTGCCACCGTGCCGTGACTCAATTGGCTAAATTTGGAGAAGGATTCTGAGCAGCCTTAAGATCTCCTGCAGCCTCACCAGTTCTGGGGAATCCAGATTTTGAGTTTTGCTGCATCTTGTTGGCGGAAAACGATACAAACGGTACTGTACAAACCAATTACCCATAATCCATCAGCTGCATCAAGGTTTACTACGTTTTTATGTGTCTTTCATTAGAATCAAGGCTCTCATTCCAAATGCAGTATCATGCCAGAATCTTTAATCCTTAGCTACAAACCTTTGGTGAAGGTGCAATTTAATTAAGAAACCGCCTCCCAAAGCAAAGTGAAAATATATGGCTATATAATCATGCCATATGTACTGACTACAGCAAAAAAAATGGCTACATTTTCTTCAAATGTATACAGAAATGGGAACATCATCTGCACAAAGCATTGACCGAGGTGCATTATGGGGGAAATATTGTTGATATTATTTAGTAAAGGAATTAATCTTTTACAGAAACTGTCGCATCGTGCATTGTCTGGAGGTCGAATGTGAAGAGTCTGAAGTCACACATGTGACACAGAGTCCGAAGTCACACATGTGACACACAGAAGGGCTTTTTATGCAAAGTCCTGCAGCCATTCCCAGCTGTAAGCGAGACAAGGAACAAAGACGCCGTGAGACAGACTGACAGATGAGGGCTACATGCTATCAGCTCAGGTGCACTTTCTGTTTATCTACGAGTGAAACGGGTGGTAATAGCAGTGATCTTGTGACCCAGTTTCATTTTCACAGAGAGTCCTGCGCTCACAGATAGTCACAAGAGGGCTGGATGCATACATGCTTAGCATCCAGTCCCTAAGGTCAGACCGTCCAACAGAACACAGAATAAAGCCACAGCAGGAGTGACCAATCTATCCCAGAAAGGGCCGCTGTGTGTGCGGGTTTTCACTGCAACTCCCTAATTATATTACTAATTAGATGACTGACTGGCTGAAGAGTCCTCACTCCTGGGTTTGTACAGCTGACTGAAAGGTTCTCCCTCTCTCCAAGCACAACGGCCTACTGTGCCGAGAACACATGGTCATGTTTACCTGTAGTCCTGTCACCTGTGCAGTGTTACACCCCCTGGATAGCACTGACATCTTATATATGCCAATAAGAAATCAAAATAGTTCTTTCTTTCTTATCAAGGACTGGATGGAGGGGATTTGTTCTTTTCACAACCTGGGAAGTGCTATATTACACAAACAAATATCTCAATAGCCAAGGCCCCGAACCCCAAACCCCAGGGGTGTTTCCTGCAGGCTGGGAGACCCTGAATTGTCTCCCACAAGGTTTCCTCTCACCTGTATAGGTGTGTATGTCCCAAAGGAGGACAAGATGGACTATAGAAAACAGGTCATATATCTTTTCTCTTAAAGAGTTTAAATTGTAGTTGGATAGCTATTAATCTTATTTAATTTTTGTTGTCCATCCATAGTGTTCATCATGTCCAATGTCTAAATGTCATCATGTCAATGTCTAAATTCTAATAAAGTTTTTTTTTTCTGATTCTGATACACTTTTAAAAATGGCCAATGAAATATTTAATTTCGTATATGTGTGCATCCTAAAAGTGGGCAGGATTGGGATATACGTCTACAAATGGGCAATAAAAAGGTCATTTTATTTCATGAGAACAGTTTCTGTTTTATGTTAAAACCCAAAACCTTTGAGAAATATGCAGAAATTCAGGAAAGTTGGTAAAAAAATTTTGTGACATCCACTACAGATTGATTCAGGTGACTGTGACTGTATCTCACCTGATCAGCTAAGAAGGTCAAAGGACACAGAAGATGGAGAGCATCAAGCTTACTGAACATCTCTATGGAAGAGCAGATGATGAACGTTATATATATATGGCAACTGGACCAACAAGGAGGTGCTGTGTTCACACGCTATAAATTCTAGCAAAAAAAAAAAAGTGATTATTTGAGGATTAAATTGTAAGTTAGAGACACAAATGTCACATATGAGTGCAAATCATGAGAAAAGCGCTCAGAACTAATATATTGCAGGGAAATAACAAATTAACTGCAGTGAGCTAATAAATGAACTGTTCAAGCAAGCTTGTCCCATATTCAACATTTTTACATGTCGCCCATTTTAATCGCTTTAACATGCATGTTTTATATACAGTTTGGTCATGACATGCAATATGTGTTTAGAAATATATGCCTACAAAATATCATTTTAAGGTATTTCATATATATCGCTTAATATGTCCACTCAATATTTCTTCATGTAATATTTTACACAGTAAAATGATACTTTTCATTGTACACAAATACTGTCGACTAAAATAAATGCTTATGTGAAAATTTTATAATAAGATTCACCCACAGTGACATCCTTATAAATATAAGTATTATACAGAGCTGTCATATCCCCATCTCTCTTATGATTGTCAGTGTTAAGCAGCCGTAAAATTAAGCATGTCTGTAGAACCGGCCTACAGAGGTGGGCGGTTCTTCTGTCCACGTCTCCATAGTTACAATTATGCGAAATGAAGCAGGATGAATGAAAAACGCCGTGCGTCAGCCCGCAAACGCTGGGATGCAGGCTGTTTGAACCCTCTCCGTCCCCCAAAGGAGGTGGGACGGGGGGGCGGGGAGCCGGGATCGCCGAGGTCTGAGCGGCAATGTCAAAGTTACATGGCTCACAGCCTCCACTTCTTCAACTCGCATTATAAAAGCACTAAAGCATGCCATTACAGTTATACGCTTAGCTGAGAATAATACTATAAACATTTTACCGTAATCTACCGATTTGACTCACCCGGATACCTTTCTGAATGGGCCCAAAGCACATGCCCTTAATCCGTCTGCCACTATATTCTCTGCTGCCATCTTCAATAAATTCCACAATCCGAAGCTAGACAACTATCTGCAAATACAGAGCAAAGGTGCTGTACATAGACTATATGATATATATACTATTGTACGTATCACGTGATACCAATGAGCTCGCTTCTACTACCTATAACCCTTGACACCTGTCACTGCTCACCCTAGGTACGTTTTATTCCAAAAGGTTGATAAGCTGATAAGAATAAATATGATGAAAGACCTATAAAATCAAAGGGATAAAATATAGCTTTGAAACCTTTAGTTTCCAGCATTCACGTTCGTGCTATATATCCCCTATAATAGTGATAAGCATGAACAGTATTTCTGATCATAATTAAAACTATTTTGTATTGTAGCGCGGAGGTAGAATATTATAATATTAAAACGTATATACATTTTACTATACGAGACGGAGTAAATTAATTAAGCCTTAGCACTTAGCGGATATTTCAGTCTATAAAAACAGACCTAGCCTATTATTATCGGAGGTTATTTTGTATTTTTATTAATCTGCAGGGCGTCACCAAATAGCACCATACAGACAAACGTACTCCAGCATTGGCATAACGTAAATATATAGACAGCTATAACATTGAGGAGGTCATAAGCAGACCGACTTAACGGGAATCCGCAGATCGCATCGCGAGCGTGGGAAGACCGGCACCGGTCCACGTTAGGCCGAGATCACGGGAATCGGCAATGTCGGCCGTGCACTTTAACACAGCGTATTATGTTAGATGTATTATTACTTTTTCTGCTAATGAACCCCACGATGTCGTTCAGAGGTCATGATTAACTGTCACCAATGGCCTCGCCAGCGCATCCTCCCGAATCGTGCATCCAGTGCACTTGTCATCCTCGATCATCCTCGAGCATCCTAATGTACAGGCCACCCCGTATAATTCCCGTAATAATATTCGTGACTCCTTCGAACAACAATACATGATTATAATCCAATATTCCGGCTTGTTTTACCATGACGCATAGTCGCTGATACGGCCAGCATCCCCCTAATACAGATCGCTTAGTCAATGCACGAATAATAACTGACAGCGCAACTGATCCCGACTGTCTTACGAGAAGCACTATAAACGACAAGCCGTATAAGAGATTCAAGGTATCCCTCGGTGAAAAGAAGGAAATCCGGCGCGCTTCTTACCGTGCGATTAATCTCCGCGATGTACGAAGGCCTCCGGGATGTGTTTCCATAGCTCGGCTTTTCTCCTCTCCTCTCCCCACCGCCGCTCAGCATCAGCAGCCGCACAAAGCGACGGAGAGGCCAGACCCCGCCCTCATCTCTATGAATGGCCGAGATCCGCAGACCCCCCGATCTGCTCCCGGCTTCGCTCTTTCGGCTATCGGATCGCTACCCCGGCTACCCTCCCGTCATCAAAGCGCTTTGGGGGCAGCACATATTACACAAAAGGGTGTTAGAAGTCTTAAAAAGGAGTAGTGAGCTATTATTACTCACTTCCCACCGCATCCAATCCCAGCTGCCTTATTTGTATAAATGGTAATTCGGCATTCTGTGATTATGGACATACAGGCGAATGACAACGTGCTGCAAAAGAGAAATCTAAAACGAATTATTAATGTTGTGGATTCTAACTCTAGCACAGTTCCCTTTGATAGGATGATTGTTAAAACAGGTGGCCTAGTATACATTTTTGTTTTAGATTTATTGACTACAGACAACATTGATTGTTTTAGAGCAGAAATACGTTTAAGGTGCTTATATTGTAATTTTATATAGACACATGAATTAATTGGGAACTGGCAATCATCAAAAGGCATATAACACAAGAATCTTGATAAATATGTCATTTGGAAATCACCAGAATGCCTGGTCGACTTCCATCTAGCGGTAGGAAAAACTGAGAATACTCTACTCTAGGTTACTGCAAGAAAAGTCATTGATCTACAATCACATGACCTGAAAGACTAGCAATAGCTGATATGTCACAATAAATGACTAGCAAATACTGTACTTATTTTACACATTTATTATCTTGAAAAGGATTAATTGTCTTTCCTGACACACTGTACACAACAATGAAATGTGTTCTCTGCATTTAACCCATATGCGACATTGTGACATAGCAGGGGGCAGCTAATTCAGCACCTGGGGAGCAGCGTTTGGGGGGGCGGTGGTACCTTGCTGGTCGGGGATTCGAACCGACAACCTTTCAATCACAAGCACGCTTCCATAACCATTAGGGAAGCTTTCATATTTAAATATAAAAATAGTACAATTCAGTATGTCAAATGGCTTCACTTGCAAGATGCACATTAGTATTGAAGAGCAGCTAAGAGCGTATTTGGTGTGAGTGTATTGACGGATACCACATATGGGACTTTTACTTTCTTTATTCAACATTTACATATTTTCTCCCTAGTACACAACAAACCATTAAGGAATCTGTTAGCTCCACACAACACAGAAAACCATCAAACAGTTAAGAACGCCGTGAGCAGATTTCACCCCACGCCATCTCGCAAAGACGGATCCGCCGTCAGGCTTCTGCAGAAACACTATCCGTGACATCAGATCCTAAGCACGATATTGCACGGGAGTCCAGAACTCATGGCAGCGTCTCCTTAACTGCTGGGCGACCGGCGTACAACCCTACAATGTGTACAGAGATCCGTCGTTGTTCTGTTGCTCAATAACAAGAGGCCTAAAATTCAGCGTTGAGGAAACGCCTGTTAGGTTGACATGAAATCAGTTCCGCAGATCAGTACCAAGAACCTTTTGCGCTTTGATCAACACAACTGACCATTTTGCTATTCCATATGTAATGCATGTTACCTTTGGAATAATCATTCATTTACACCTTATTTAGAAATACTGTCTGCATGTAGATATTTCATATAAAACCCTATTAGAACGGGATGGACTAAAACTATCATTTGAAAGGGCCCCCAAAGTCTGGGTACAGCTTCAGATCATCATCAGTCAAAATTTATCACTGAAACATAACTTCAAGTAAAGATTATCTTAAAAACCACACACTCTATATTTACTTTACAACCAATCAGAACACTACAACACATATCTCACCGCAGAACGCAATGTCTACATTATCATAACCCTAATTTATATAGATTATATATTGTTCATATATCATTTTTTAATGAATACTGCCATTAAGTGGAATATTCACAAGACCAGAAATTTAATAAGGTTTCTTATTAAAAGTTACAGACGATCAGGGACACTGTGACTAATCAAGTTGTACTTCCACGGATAGGACTTTACGAAAACAGATAGGACTTTACGGAACGGTTACAGGTCACATCCAGCAGCTGCATGTGTTGTGTAAGTTCTAGTCAGATCACAATGCGAACAACAATACAATGAGATGGGAAACCCTGTCTGGTTTTTGTTTGATGGTCTGAGTCACATTTAGAACTTTGTGCTTCTTCTTAACAGTGGATGTATCCATGTGTTCCATTTAGAAATGTCATTTTGGATGCTAGTTGATGAAAAACATACAACAAATAAAAAGCTTCCCATGTTAACTTAGATACCCTGTAACAGCACATTATGTAATAACACTGCATTATGTAATAACACAATGTGTCATAATGTAATAACATAATGTAATAACATAATGGAGATAGCCATTTTGGTTATTACAGAATATTACATTTTTATCATTAAAAACTGTAACTCCCACATTTTGTAGCAAGTGCCGCAATGTGTAGTAATTTATTACAGAATGCACGGAAGTACGTACAAATACAATTTTGCGTTCAAGCTATTACAAAATGCGACCGATTATTACAAAATGCGGGTGCCATTACATAATGAAGTGAAAAGTTGTTAAATTTTGCCGAATTATTACACAATACGGTATTACTACATAATATGTCGTTACATACGGCCCAAAAAAATCTTTTAACGGCAGTAAGTGTGCACTGATACCTTCTGCAGGTTTATATTGAACACAAGTAGACGTGGCCAATTAGTGGAAATAAATAAATAAATAAATAAATAAATAAATAAATAAATAAATAATTATTACCAGTACATCATGAGCTGAGGATTCGAAAACCAGTACAAATTGTACGATTTTAGTAATCCACTAAATTAATAAAAACATACCAGGAGCTTGGAACAAATTTTGTATGACAGTATTGCCCATAATGTTTTTCTTCACAATTAAAAGCTTCAGAGTTGTGACACAAGTCATAAAGCACCTGTTTTATTGGTGAAAACCAGAGATTATGCAAAAATTGCTTATCACCATCCAGGACCTCCGATCTATACACAGGATATGTATATTTTATATTTGCATTTTCTCCCGTTTGCAGTTTGTTCTTGAAGGCCATAAATACACACAGTAGTGCTATATGTACATCATGAACGGTCTTTGTTCATACGCATCGTTAGAGAATTCACTTGCAGATAAATTGTATATATTTCGTAGACTGTACTTGAGTAAAATTCCTAATTTCAGTAAGGACCCAGAGGAAGGGCCTTAAAGAAAATGAGGAAAACATTTTGGCAGTAAAACACAGCGTAAGACACAGGGAGATGATGCCCGGCCTGTTTTGTCGTGGAAATTGCACTTCTAAAATCGAGTAGAACAGGAGACCCCCTAAGGTACCTTGTCAGAAATCCACATTTCCAACAGCTTTGGGAGACACCAACAGACCAGCACTAATATCTGCATTTAAAGAATGAATTTCAAACAGGGAGGAAAATGTGGGAAGAGGAATGAGCCAACCGCGTAGCATGCGGTATGTGGAATATCACACGAAGAACATGGCACAGAAAAATTCCAGGTTGAAAACAAATATTAAAGAAAATCAGACGTGTTACAGGTTGAAATACAGGGAGAAATCACTGAGGTCCATATGAATCCAGGAGAAACGGAAGAGGGGACTTTGGCACGTTGGATGGCATGCTGTGCTGGGGGTGGTTTGGGATGGTGACCAGGATGACGTGGCCTGGTCGTCACAGGCCTTTGTTGAAGTAAACCCTCTCTACCTCTGGGTAACTGGCCTTGATCTTCGCCTGGAGCTCAGGCTCCAAGCGGTTCACTGACATCGAGCTGGAGGACCCCACAGAAAAGAGAGCATTTTACCGAGCGCAGAGCGCAAAACTTCATGCTGAAATTATACTCGTGTTTGTGAAGAACCTGGAATCTATCCCAGCATTCACAGCAGAGCGTGTGCCCTGGACCAAATCCAGAGTCCATTATGGGGTGCATATGTACACAAGTGTGCGTGCATGCACACACACACACACACACACACACACACACACACACACACACAACAGGATTCAAATACTTGGTGTTGCATTATTTTTTTCCAAAGAGCATAAGAATATCTTATTCATTCTCCAGAATTTAACTCAAATCCTACCATTACAAACTCTAAGCAGTCCAGTGTTCTAAAATATTGCCATTTTGAGTGTCTAAAAGTATAATTAGGCAATAGTAACCCCATTATATGCAGTAATCTCTGAAGCAGCTGTTTCATACAGAGAGAAGGAAAATGGTGGCAGATTCTACACGGACTACAACCCACCTCTTCTGTGGAAACAAGGCGCAGCAGAGCGGAGTGGCGAACACCAGGCTGGAAACACAGGGTACAAACTTCAGATTATATGAATTCAAATGCAGATTATTAAATGCGGGAAATGTTGACTCTGCTTCAAACCGTCCCTTTGCTGGCCAACAGAAACGTACAAGGGAACAAGCCGGAGAGAAAGCAAAAATGTGAGTAAAATATAAGGAACCTGAATGTGGTGAGCAGACAGGAAGTGGAGCAGTGGGACCGGATCGCAGTGATTTCGCATCACCATGGCGACGGGTCGCCAGAAGCCAGCAAACAGGAACTTCTGATGAGACCCAGCTGGTCCTGATTGGACTGATTTATCTCAGCCGTCATAAGAGTCAACGAGGTGAAGTGTGGGAGATTATTCATGTATGGGGTTGTTGCATGTGACACTTTAGATAAGTTAGTTTTTTTTTCAGATAACTGAGAAGGGTCCCCTTTTATTTCATGCCGACCAGAAGTGTTTTATATGATCTGTGCTGCTGACTCACTATTGTGGCAAATCGCCGCCGTGCATCAGCACGGAATCGTGGGGGTAACTTTTACCCTTTACTGTTCAGTGAGCACCGTGGTAAGGTTGCAGTATGTAATTATTTGCCAGCATAATAAAACAGACCAGGTACATCTTTCCAAGAAGTGAATGACACTCTTTATCAGATGGTGCGTGGACTACAGGGTATCAAGGAGAAGAGGAAAAAATATATATTATATTATATTATATTATTATATTATATTATACCAATAAGACTACCTTTATAAAGGATTTAGGAATTGTTTATAAGCAGGTTATTAATAACCTGCTTTAAATAGGTTGTAGAACTTTGTAAATCATTAATGGACAATTTTAAACAAGCTATAACAGTTTTCATTTCATTAATGAGTTACTACCATTTAAAAATGGCAAAAGGGGAACCTTATTTTACAGCAGTAGCAAGGAACCTAACAGCACTTACCAGATCCCTACCAGTCCCACTTGAATGGGTGCACTCATCCACGGAAACCTCTGTAAAAGAGTTGGGGTAAAAAAAACAGATACACACTGCGTATACACGCCATAGATAACTGGCAGTCACACGCGTGACGCTGGTCACGTGTTAATCCACAGACACGCCAGGCTTCCGTGTCCATATATGTTCATAAGTTTGAATGTTTTGTAGTTGAAGATCGACACTTCAAGTAATAAAGGAAAATGGCAGAACGTGATCAGGAGTAGAAATATGCAATTCCAGAAGAGAATAAACACAAGTACATTTACAACAGCAAATGTTCTCATATCTTGTAACGGCGAGATACTGCTGAATATCCCAGACAGATAAATGTTACTCTTGGAAAAACAATGAATTGTAATAAATTTCTTAGATTTACGTGAATCCTTTTATACATGCACGTTAATGATTGTACTGTTGTTTTAACATGCTGCGATCGCACTGCCAGATAGATATTTGATTCCACAAAGAAATAACGAGGTGAACCATAGTGGAACACGCAGAATGATTACTGAAGGCCGCCACTTCGTAACTGAAATACGGATGTATCGTGCATTATGCTTTACTTGGTGTTTTTTTTTGTAAATTTTAGTTGGGTAAGTGTAATCTTTCTATTGTATTACTGATTATGAATTTTTAATTTTCTATACTGATGTCAGAATTTTTACTGTATTCATTTTACAAGATTTTTTGTTGTCACAATTTGAAAACCTAGATTCATTTCCTATTGCATCATGTTGATTAAGAATAAACAAGATCAGCCTTTACCTTTAGAAATGCTCTTTTTTCAAGGGTGTTCATCAAGAATGGCGGAATAGCTGATAAGACAAAAGAGCTCGGGTTTAGAAACTTGTGCTGCCCCTTCAGTCGAGATTATAATTCGACTAAAAAAAGAGGTTTTTGGAGGAATACCGACCCATTCCTGGGGAGGCCATGAGGATTCGGGACACCACCACCTGTGAGATGGCTTGCTGGGCGGCCTTTTTAGACTCCCCTAACCTGTTTCCGTTCTCATCCGTTATTGGAATACCGTGTTTAAGTTCTCTGGAAAAGACGGGCATTGAATTCAAGACAATCCTTACATAAATATCCCAAGACACATACCTTTGATCCTTTATCAAAATTTCATTACTCAAAAGCTACACAGGAAGCTTATCCACCCCTCCCGCCCCATAAGGTACCTGGCCGTAGCTATAAACTTTACCTTTGCCTCATCAATGGGATATTGATGCAGTTTGCAGCAGCTACGGCAGCAAATGGAACAAATCTGCCTATAAGTGGTGAGACATGCTGTGTAAGGAAAGGAAGATATTAAACTTACAATAAAAAAAAACACCGAACACAACTGCAGCAGTGAATTGGAACAGAAGAAAATTGTTCAACACATATTACAGTATATACGGTATTATGTTACCTATATTTGCGTACCGCTGTCCAGCAATTTGTACGATACCCAAACAGCCGTTAAAGAATAAATCGTGTGCGATTAAAGGGAAAACGAATGAAATTACGAGTGAAATGGGTGCGGAGGGTTAAGCGCAGACGCCGTCTGACAGCGACGTGGAGAGGCTAGGATGACGTTACGTGCGTGGATACCTTGGTTAGTGCGTTTAGCGCTAAAGCTGTAGCGACGGCGCCTGTGGTGGCGGACACATACGCGGTACCGAGCTGACTGCAAATGAGAAACCCAGAATTAACTTCAGCATGCACAAGGCTGCACACCTACAAGCACTCAGATTACAGGGTTACGCGGGAAAGCAGTAACAAAATAAAACACAGTGGCGCTATGCAGCAGTAGCGCCCCCTACCTGACGGTTATAGGGGCATCGCCACTTCTGTTGGTGTAATTGACTATTGCGTTGAAAGACTGATTGATCCATTGCCAGAAGACGACTGCTGGAGTTGACCTGGGGGGGGGTGGGGGGTGGACAGGAAGTGACATTTAATAAACATGCTAAGTAACATCATGAAAGTCAACTTGAATATTCCTGTAAAAGCAAAGGGGAGTGGTCTGGTTCACCGGTTCATACATTTACTTGATTCTATGTTTCATTAATAAACGTGTAATTAAATGCTCACTTATAGAAGGTCATCATGCATCCTGTGATGGTCATGTTCATGGGAACCTGCGCAGACATCCGACCAATCAGGATCATCTTCTCCCCCGTGTCCGGGTGAAAGGCGGAGTCATAGATGTACTTTGCCCTCCACAGCGCATCTTCTGTGAGTTCTGGAGACACGATTCCTTGCCTTCAAATTAGGGAAAAACAGCAACATGATGATAGGTTCAGGCACCAGCATTAAACATTGAAAAACTGAATTAACAGCCTCAGGTGTGGAGAATCGACCTTCGGGATCCAAACCTGTAATCCTGAATGATTTGTCGCGCTGACTCCAGCTGTTCCGTGGATAACAGGATATTTCGGGGGTCAGTGACAGTGAAGAAATGCTTGGCTCTCCCAATGAATGTCCCTTGATCCCATCGTGGTTCCTTGATATTAATGTCTGTGCTGAGCTCTGTACTCATGATGATCTGGACAAGAGACAGAGAATATAAGAATGACACAAGTACAAGCATGCCTGTATCTCCCATTGAGAACGTCGAGGTCATGTCCACGGTATTTTTCTGCGGCTCCAATAACCACAATCCTTTGCAGGACATGTCGAAGGAAGGGCTAAAACGAACACTTTTGACCTCGATTTTTAAAATCCTGACTAGGCCCTGAGTTTAAGCGCTAACAAGTTATTAGAAATAAAGTAATCAAAGCTGAAAGACTTTGCAAAGCTTTCCCATTCAATAAGAATTCAACCCAATTGTTTTAGTAACACCAAAATATTGATGCCTGTGGATTTAGAATGTGATGTCATACAAGTTCCTGTAGGTGTAATGGCCAGATGTCCCAATACTTTTGTCCATATAGGGTATATGAAATGTACATAAAGTACATTTAAAAGCAATGCTACTGGCTTATGCTTCATGCAGATAACTTTCCCCACGAAAATTAACAATTTGTACAGAACAGAAAACACTGAACACTGTAAATCGGTAACCAGGTCTGCACAGTGCAGGCAGTACATGCAAAACGACATTCGGGCGCAGGTTCCTCGCTGATCATTAATTTAACGCAGTGAACTAAACATTACAGGTTCATTTTCCATGGGAAAATATTATAAATTATGTTTTTAACTACATTTTTAATGTGATACATACAGAAACGTTAAACTTAAAATCCTCCTTTATACACGACCCTCTCGATTACACCTCGTAGATATCCACAGTAAACCATATTCTCATATTATCAATTAAGAGGTTATGTGCTTTGTTACGTTTATTGAAACGATTTGAATCAATAATGGACGGGGTTCAAAAATGACACACAGAACACTGCATTTGACTTTTGAGGTGTGCTGAAAGCCCGATGGCTTTGGGATCCCAATCTTATTTGCAGATATTATGAGATTTACCCGTCCGCATGGCGTTTAGTCGGATCTCTGTCTCCCCCCCAGCAGCCATCTTCCGGCGTAACCACGCAAACTGATTTCATCATGCATCGTGAAAGGTATCTATAGTTATTTATCAGCGTTATTCGATTTATTTGCGCGAATTGCGCCAGGGTGGCCTCTGCAAATGAATATGTGAGGTGAGATACCGACGGAGCCCCCTTAAATCGCGGAGCTCCCTTAACGCAGACCTCATAGACATCGTGCATCTGTCCTTTGAGCCTTGACGCACAGATGTGCTGCCTGGTCACTTAGTATAACATTAATTATTATTTCTTACAAAAAGGAAAAAGCCACGGGGTTTATTGAACAGAACAGAGAAGTGACAAATATAGCAATTAATGCATGTGATTTGTTTCTTCCATAAAGAAGATTTCAAAGTGTATTTCCGTGTTGTAAAATTACAGATTTTTAAAATGATAGCATGCAGATACGCGGTATAACCGCTGTGCGTGTGACTAAAATAATACATATTTATATAATACACATTTGCATAGTTAAAAATCATGATGAGGTCTAGACTTTAAACCACCTGACTGTAATGCAGTATTACTGTCCAGTCATTAGAAGCTGCTAACACGGCTAGTGTGGTCGGTCTACAAACAGAATCACAAGATCAGACGTGTCTATTTTTACTTCGATATGTATGGACATGTTTACGGGAATAAACAGCCTATCCGACGTACAGGCATAGCATATCCAGCTGGATCATCACACGCAAACAGGTATCATGGAGATCCCGATCTACCGCTGCCACATCCTCACTGTGCACATCAGTCACATGACCACGGCACCAGCTCCCGCACGTCTAGTCCCGGGGACCCATTACTGACAGCGGATCACGAAACAGCACCGATACCTTAATTCAATTAACCTACCAATTTGAAAGACAGAGAGAGTCAGGCGGGGTCCGATCGGTTGCGCCTCGCTGCTTCTTCCGTTCGCACCAAATAGCAGCCGCTTCGCTTCTGCCAATTTCAAAGTCGACTTCCGGTTTTTAGTGAGCCGATAGTTTCAAAATAACAGTCGCTACTGGAAGAGTCATTTAAACAGTAACATTCCCGACGGAGATTCGGATCCAATGGGCACTTGGATTGTTTCCGCGAAATAAAATACGACAAAATAACGAATAAAGTTTTAAATCCAGTTAAGATTTATTTTTCTTTAAAATTCATTCTCAAACTGAAGATTTCGTAAGACTGTGATTACAGTTTGTCCTTTTGTCCTATTTATTTCTGTTACCTTTGTACTGTGCCATCTGGCACGGCCTCTGTGGGCTGATAAGTATGCCAGCCAGCAATATTTATCGTGGGAACCCCCCACCCCTGCCCCCAACACTCCGCGAGGTGGGAAAAATTTATGTGGGGCCTTGGGGGACCCCAAAATCCAGGGCCAATCTTTAATCCCAGTCCAGCCCTGAACACACACAAAGATTGATAAGGCTATTGCATGGCATGTTCGTGTTTCGGTGGAGGAATGACAGGCAGGGGCGAATCAGAAACACTAATCATCGTTGTTTTGGTTACCTAGCAATGCCAGGACCTACCTCAGGTCTGCCTTAACCTGAATGTAAGACATTTCATACCATCGGTTACAAAAAAGACACTTTATTGGTGATATTTCATGTCACATAATCTTCCAAGCAGTCAAATAACTACTGGATGACTGATAACAAGGCTTAGAAGCCATTAACTCAAACCACCACATGTGGCAATACGGTTTTTAAGTCATAAAGAAGCACAATAGAGTAAGTGAACAAATATCGTTGTGTGTGAACATGGAGTGCAGATAATCGTCAGGTTGCAATAAGCCCATTGTGTCAGCATTCAGTCATTGGAGACTTATCATTGCGGGCTGATTTGGAAATTCTATGGGCAGGGTAAACCAGCAAGACATGAACTGGATTAAGGGTTTCAGTCAGACTTAGATAATCCACACCTCCTCTTGAATTCCTGCCCTCGTTCTCGGATCCATCTGTTCGAAACTGAAATCAGGGCGAAAATTTGGTCATGTCATTGATATACTTATCCTTGCAATTTATTTTCAGGTTAATTTTCATGTTTCATGGTGACTGTGAGAGAGTGATGTCAGATCACTCCTGTCTGTTGGCATCTCACCCCACTTGCTACCCATGAGGACCGGACAAGCTGCATGAAGGGTTCGTTTATCGGTCTGTCCGTTTCTTAAAAGGTTGTACCAGAACACAGCAGATCCCTGTTAAAACCGAGAAATCCTTTGTATAGTAAGTGATTCTGCACAGGGAGGTGTTTCAATGAAGGCCTTTCAGCACAGCGACTTACCTTCTTAGGTTTCAGAGCAGCCCCTATTAGAGGAAATACGGTGGCACCTCCCATTTCGACATCACTCATCTGGGAGGAAACGAACAGGTCTAAGATGTATTAAAAATCTGCATCGAACAATAACTAATAATGACTCAACTTGATACTGTACCGCTTAAAGGGAAACTACTTACATAAATTAAGACTGTGGCAATCCGATCTCCAGATGCCATAAATTCTGTGTCATTAGGCAACTATGAAGAAGGAGATTCTGGATATTAAAATCACTGACACGGCCTCTCAGGAATATCTCAGGTGTTCATGTCAGCCATTTATACATTTATGGGATATCAGCACCGTCTCCTGTACCTTCGAATCATAGTGTGGTTCATACTGGCCTCCAATTCCATAATTTGCAACCTAAAGAGTAAACAATTAAAGGAATGAGGGTCAGATTTAGCTTCCATGTGTATCTTTTACTTGACTGTCAATCCCCAATGTCTCCATCAGTGGCTGACCTGAAGAATCTCTGCTGTTTCCATATCCAGGCCAGTGGCATCCGCTATCTTCTGACTGATACGGGCGACCACACTGTCGTCCTCTTCCGATAGCCATGCACTAAGAATACAATGAGGATGAATGCCCATCTGCCCATTTTCCATAACGGCGTATTGGGTACAGGCTCACGTTGGGGCCTGGAGCCCATCCCAGGAATTAACGGGCACCAGGCAGGGTGACACCCTGGGCTGCAGGCCAGTCCATCGCAGGGCACACGCTCACACTCTCGCTATCACACACTGCAGGCCATTTAGAGAAGCAGATTCAACCAACTTCATCTTTCAAATGCAGAAAGAGACCGAACAACGCAAGCTCTACTTACAGAGCGAAGGCAGGATTCAAACCCCTAACCCTGAAGGTGAGAGGTGAGAGGTGATGACACAGTGCTGCGCAAAAAGGCAGCTTAAAAATAAACATATAATGGGATGAATTTTAAGGCAGTGATGATACATTAGAGCTAAACTACAATAAAGGTCCCAGTTCCTGTTGCGTGGTGTGAAAGTCACACGAAAGTGGCCGGGAACTACAAAAGTTCACGGTCAAGACGGCCCAGGAACTTCAGTTCCAGAACTTTGGTGTGAAAGTGTCCATTGTAATGAGAAAGGTACAATGTTAATTGTGTAACTTTTCATTGTCACAGAAAAGTGTGATTACCAAACTCCAGTTATGTTGCTTTTCTGATTTGCTCAATTTTAGAGTATTCATTGCTCAATTATGTCAATTTCTCCATCTTTCTTTTCTAATGTAAAGGTGAACATAGAAAATACAGAAGTTTGACAAGGCCGACGGGACTGACTGATTTTTTTCCATATAATCCTGCAATGTAAAAATGCACCTTTATTTAGACAAAATTATGAAAATAAATCAGTTTTATGAAACACACCTTTCCAGAAAGAGAGAAATACCTTTTTGAAACACGAACTTCAGAAGCATGTCCCTTCCCAGTTTCTTTGTCCAAAACCATAGCTCTTTGAAGCTTTGCTCAAAAATAATGAATTTAGATATATTTATTATTACATATATAACATTTATCACAATTTCTTGGGCAGAATGATTTGGCGTGCTATAAAAATTCAAGTCAAAAGTTTCTAAATAATTCACATAAAAAATACACTGCCAAACTGTCAATACCAACCTTTAATCTGGAAATGTTTTTTATGATGTCAATTTCCATGTCAGATAAAAAGTCATGATATCTAATGATTTGGGGATGGGCCCATTCTTCCTCCTCCTTAAGTGGGGCATAGATGAGCCGTGGGTTCCCTCCTCCTGTGCTGTATCTGCAGGACAGCGCCCTCTGTCTCCTGGAGGTCTGTTTTTTTTTTTTTTTTAAAAGAAGAAGGTGTACACACACAATGTTAACATAACGCAAAACCTCAGTTACTTTAATGGAATTTTTAATGAATAACATCAAGGTGACTTTCCAATTGTTTGCCGTCACCCCTGCAGAGAGCCTCATATCTGATTTTGTTGTCACTTGGCATAAAAATGTCGAAGTCGGCGTAGTACAGAGCACTGAGCCATGTCTGAACAGTGTCTCTCAATTTTTGGTAGTAGGCCGATTGGTACGGTATGATGTCATCGCTGAGATCTGCGGAGGAGAAGTAAAGGGAAGGGGGTCACACAGAAAAGTAAAATACAGGGAATATAGAGAAGCGACTTTCTGCTTTTACGCACCAAAGATCTGGAACAACATGCCCTTGGACATGCATCAGGGTTTTAGATAGTTTACATTATGGTATATTCATGTATTTTTGTTCATACTTTCACCTTACTTTAATATGATTTCTTAATGCTTGATTGTGTTCTTATCTTTGTTACTATTTGTCTTGATTCTATTTTGTTTTTATTTTCATCCTTTTTGTTTTTATTTGTTATTTGCACTTTATATAAAGTATAAATATATTAAGCACTTTAAGCTGCATTCAGATGAAAGCTGTTATAAGTAGTAAAGTCACACACGCATTGGTAGCTACTGGAGAAAGTTACGATCTGAACACCAACCCAGGTTCAGCAGGTCTTTTGTCAGCTGAACAGCAAGAGGAACTTCCATCTGAAAGGCAAAGGGTGCCAGGAACTGAAGCACCTCCATTTGGGAAACTCCTGCTGCTTTTCCCTCTTCCAGCTGTCTGTCAGCGTCTTGCATCCACAGAAGTGCGTAGTGGAACTTGTAGTTTTCATAAGCAACTCTGGCCATGTGGAAGGAGTCATCCGGGTCTAAGGATTCCTCAGCTACGTGGAATAACAAAAAAATCTTGAAGCTCAATCAGAAACCTCCAAGGACAACAAACAACATTCCAAAGCCATACTAAGCATTTCAATTGTATCTTTCCTGTAACTGGGTGTGGATAATCTCACCTGTAGGTGCTAGTGCTCTCATTTTCTCAGGGGGCAGCTTGTAAGTCTCCTGGAGCCTGAGCATTCCCAAAGCAACCCCATTTAAATCCTTCTCACTCGGGATCTGCTGTGACTTTGCAGACATCAAGCCCAGGAATTCTAAATCCCAGCCAACAGAAAGACACTCTCAAGACCACAGTACTGAGAGAAGCAATTTGTCATCAACAGAATGTTTACTACCACCTGAGTTATGTAAAGCTCCGCTCCAGTTAGGGCGACACATTCATACCCTTTGAAGGACTCGAATTAACCAGTTCCTCCACTTCGATCCATGCATTCATCAGTCTCCTCACAAACTTGTATGCCGTCACGGGATTACTCATGTACGTTTCGGGATGTGAAGGGACACTCTTACCGATGTCCTCAAACATCCGAAGGCATCTGTCAGGAACAGAGATAGAAAATGATTTTCAGCGTGAAATGAGCATTGAAAGATAAACACAATGAATGTTGGACTGAAAGTACCTCTTTAATTTCTCGATATGTACTTCCTCCGCTGTGATGTAATCCTGCAAGGAGGAGACGAGCTCTCTTTGTGTAACAAGGAGTCCAGTCATGTGTTCTGCCAACACACAGGAACATTGAGGTGAGCTCATTTTGTAGGCTTGTTACAAATGTCTACAAAACCATAAACTATAACATTACCATGTTACATTTTACAGTTACACTTGCACATTATACCATTACAATGCGTAAAACACAAGCCTAAACTTATTACAAAATGTGTACCCTGTAATGTGCTGTAACAGAGTGATGAAATCCCTGTGTAAAATATACAAATGAGATAATCCTCATTCCTGTAAAACACTTATTAATAGGATTAAAAATAATTGAAATGCACATTGGTGAGACTTTTTAAGGACTTATATTACCCAAAGTGGTGCAGCTGTGGATGTATTTCATACTTAATTATTGATTATTGATTATTGACTGGTCCCTCTCCCAAACTCATAATACTGTGGACTAATTCCAAATGATCATTTTGTTGTAGTTAATTTGCATAAACAACATGTCTAACTGTATACAAGGGAATGATATTTGCCTCACCTTCCAGTTACAGTAAATTAATGGTTTTAATGATACAGATATTTCATTTATTTCCCGTCCTTTCCTACATTCATCCTAGCTTCATATGACATGCTATCCATCCATCCCTTTTCTGAAGCTGTTTGTCCTATTCAGGGATGCGGGGGGTCAAATTATAATCTAACAGCACGTACACTGACTAAACAACAACAATTCCCTAGTCTCGGTCTTCCTCTTCTGTTAGCTTTGCCGTGTTCCTTCAAGCAATTGAAATGTGAAAATAAAATTGCTCTGGAGTTCCAATATAACCACATAAACCAAATCAGTCAGCAATTGCAAACCGTCATACTCTCATCCATTGTGAGCTAATTAACATAACGCTCTGTTTTTCTTTGACGAAACGGACACGCCGCCATACAGTGTTCCGACACTGCATTACCACCAATAACCAGAGGGGGTGCTGAAGCACTGTCAGCGCCGCTACCTCCATCGCTACAGCACAGAATGAACAACAATAGTGCAATAATGCAATGTTACAGAAAAACAGTGTAATAGTAGTAATAAAATAATAAGCATAATAATAAGCATAATTATCATTTAAAAAATAATTAACTAATATTACCTATGGAGGAATAGAACTCTGTTCTAATGATACTGACTGCTGTGCTGATTAGGATAAATGAAATAATCAATTTATGTTCCATATTTGAAAATGAGGCTGCTGGCTTTCTTGAAGTCTTCAGAAGAACTGAACTCTCTCTTGGATAAATAATGGTCTCCCTTATAGTGATGCAGAAAGCACGCTCACACGTCATAGTGATGGTGTCACGCCCAGCTGGTCCGATCCTCCTGCGTGATAAGCCGCCCTCGTGATTTCCCGACTTCTCGACTCTTGTTCCAGCTACCCGTGCCTGCGCGATGAATGACAGGTGGCCACATGGAGTGGCGCAGGAACAGGAGTGCCCTTTAAGGCAGGCAGCGAGCCGGTCACACTGTGGTGTAAGAGTGTGATTACAGAGCGCGAAACACGGGATAGACAGGGATTTAAGGCATCTAACTCAAAGTAACCACCAAAGTGAGATGAACAAAGTGGACAATGGCTCATTTTCAACAAGACTTTGAGGGTTAATGCTATTGCTCAAAACTTAAGGCAGTAAATCAAGTAAATATGGGTGTAAAGTGCATGATTCATTCTGCACTCGTCCTATTAGCAATATGTAGCATGAGGATAATGATTTGGCAACCGTGGATACTGAGTGCAGGACAGTGTCGTGGTTAAGACATGTTAGACATGCTGAAAAGTCTGCCTGGTCTTGCTTACTTGCTTTGGGGTCTTGTTTTTTTGTACCTTCGATTACGCTTGATTTTAATTTCTCCAGCTGTATAAAACATTTAAAAACTGGTTTCTTTAGATAGAAGCATCAGCTAGGCAGCAATGGGAAAAAAAAAAGTCTCTTGTGATGAAGTGTCTAGATTCAGTTTGCAGACTGGAGACCGCAACAGATTAAAGATGCAGGAAATGCCTTGATTCGAACCCGCAGAACTCTCACAATGTACTGAATAATTATCAAGAAAATAGACAATATAACTGATGAAGAAGCTACACTATATTTAGTCTAAAAGGAGTGTTTTTCAGCCATGACTAAAACCAAGTACTAAATGTACTAAATTTGATTTAAACTCAGTATCAGTTTTGTTTAATCCTAATCTGTGGAAAATGTATTGTTTCCAAATAGTTTTCTTACAAGACATTAACATGTAAACTATGTAAAGAATGATAATGAATGATCCAAAACGCCACGTCACTCTGAATGTCTTCATGCTACATGACAGTCCATGGCATCCAGAGGCATATATCTGGCCTGACCTCACATTAAACATTAACATCAAACAAGCTTGAGATCTTCACTCTGCTGCTCTTTTGTGAATGAGTCTGCAGCAGAAGATCAGCCTTCTGCGGACTTGCCTCCCTGTAAACCGTTTTAACTCTTCATCGAATCAAATAGATTTTCTGGCAACACGTGGCTGTTTACGATTAAATGTGCGATGCTTAATTGGTGGATATAAAATGGAAACTCGGGCAGAATCCTTAACAAGAATTTCATCATCGCACATGGAAATGTCCAGATTAACCTTATCCCTCAGTCTCAGCATGCAGAGCCTGTCTGAACACACCTCAGATCTGCCGCAAACAGGCACACTCTGGGTTTGCCTGCGGATGTATACATAGCTCTGGAAAAAATTAAGAGACCACTCTCTGCGAGCCAGGCTGCTTTCAGCCTCAAAGTTTCTAAGACAGCATAATACAAGAACAAGGTGAAGCAGGAGATACTGGGAATGACCAGAAACCAGTCAAGTAAAAGGGCGGAAGCGGCATTCTAATGCCAGAGATGACCGTCAACTTATCTGACATGGATCGGAGGATGACGTCAAGTGACCTTCAAAAGGAATGAGAAACATTAAGTGCAGGTGAAGTGCACTGCTAAGACAGTTGGTATCAGGCTCCTAGAAGCAGGATTGAAGACCTGCCACTTTTCTCTGGCAACAATCACAGAAGGGCAGTGAATGGCTCAGAAGGCTATAAGTCTCTATGCTTGTGATCAACAGATTAATAGACCAGTTTGAGCCCCGTCCTCAGCAGAACAACAACAACAACAACAAATTTATTTTTGTATAGCGCATTATCACAACATTACATTGTCCCAAAGCACTTTACAGCATCCCCACCCACAGTCACATGTCTGTAGGCCCTTGATCAAGGCCCATAACCCCCAGCTCCAGGGGCACCGCATGTTAGCTGATCCCACACTGTCACCCTCAAGCTGACAAAGAGAAGCATTCCAGCGTATCTGTCCTTGTGCAAATGGCAAATAGGTCATGTTTGTTTTTTGTTGTGTTTATTTAAGCGAGGAAGAAGCCCTTCAGCAATGAGAAGCAGGGAAGCCAGACTGTAGTGTCCCATAGGCCCATAACTTGAGAAATGTGGTTTCTTCCAGAGCTGTGTGTGTATATTTTTTATATACAGTGGTACCTTGGCTCACGAACTTAATTCGTTCCAGGACTCAGTTCATGACCCAAAAAGTTCGCGACCTGAATCAATTTTTCCCTTTTAAAATAATGTAAATACAAATAATTCGTTCAAACCTCAGAAACACTGAACTTTTTCAATTTTATTAGTTTTTTTCTGTGACCAAGAATATAGACTTAAATTAAAATAACCTTAATTATACACAAATAATGCTAAATTAAATAAAACAGTACAACTGAGCATAGGCTTGTTGGCGGGCTGGTTGCTCGAATGACGCCAAGACATGGAAAAGAACTACAAAAAAACGAAACAATTAACATTAAGTACCAGTCAAAAACAATACAGTAATTTCGAAAATGTGTTTTTTTAATACTGTACATTATTATCATATGTCTAAATCTTTTATGTACATTTCGTGATGCGACACACTGTATGGCGATGAACTTCTTTGTTTGTACTGTAAACAAACTATAGGCATGTCACGATGCACGGAGCGGGGAAACAGGAGCTGGAATCCAGGAAGTCAAGGATCACGGGGATTATTCTGGATCGTACACAGGGAAACACGCAAGAACGTTGAATGACATTACAATTACCGGACTGGGCAAACAAACTGAAACACAGACATAAATACACAGGACTAATGACATCAACTGGAAACAGCTGAACACACGGGGATTCCACACGAGGTAACAAGGGGGTGTGACACACGGGGGATCGGACGAGCAGGGCATGACAGCACAGTTGCCACTATGTGTGAATGGAGAATATAACTCTTAACCCTACCCAGCCCTAACCTTAACCATAAGTAACCAAACAAAATACCAGACTTTTGGCATTTTTACTTCATTGCATTCACAGGTCTTTGTGGAGACCTGAAAAATAGCCCCCACAACGTCAGAAAAAACAGCCTTTTATTACATTGTGGAGGACATTTGGAAACCTCTGGAGAAGACCACAGCTAAATTTTCAGAGCTACAGCATACGTGTGTGTGTGTGTGTGTGTGTGTGTGTGTGTGTGTGTGTATGTATGTATGTATGTATATGGGCCAGCATTAACACACAGTGAGAAACTGGCCTGTCACCTGTCAGCTGGTTTTTCTGGCTTGGCAGTTATACCAGTTTGGGTGTCTGGTGTAGCCCCTAAGCCATCACACACAGGTTATAATTCAGTTATAAATTACAGGGGTAGAATCTATGATAATAGTCAGTCACTCCCTAGATCAGAAGAATATTATGTTTTATAAGCTACTAATATACTCACATTTACATTTTATTTGATTAGCAGACGCTTTTATTTCTGGAGCAGTTGGAAGTTAAGGGACTCGCTTGAGAACCCAACGGTGAAATTACTCTGTCGATGCTGGTAAGTAGAACCAACATCCTTCGAGCTGGATTGTTCGCGAGGGATGTTAGTGCTGCCTTTAGTCTGCCACTTTACCAATTCTGCCACCAAACAAACTGACATGCTCAGCGTCTTAGATTCTGAGCATATGTGCCACTGTGTAAAATTAATTGAGACTTGATAAATTGAGAATTAATAAATAAATGAATACGTCAGACAGAGACACACAGGTATTGCATTGTATCAAAACCAACATTTATTTAAAAAATCACCATGAAATGTCATGAACATTTGCACAGTGTAATAATTTATCTGTGTTATAAATACAACGGCCAGAATATATCAGAATATATTGGAATGAAAGTTTATATTTTGATCAGTTTCTGCAAACGGGACACTAGTGCCCAGAAGCACTGAGTACCACAGACTGTAGGGGGAGCTCTTTCACGGTTCAAGGAGTCAGCTCATTGGGGGCGTTCGCACAATTCTAAATTTCATGGCCTGTGAGGATAGAAGGATCAGGGGCGAGGAGGGGAGGGGCTCAGTCCACTTCCGTCAAGCCGCACGGCCTTCGGAACTCCTGTCCTCGCTCGTGGAACCACTTGTTCGAGACTGAGAGAGAGGAGAGAGAGAGAGGAAGACGCTGTGTCTCACGGGCGGGCAAACATCTCAGCCTGCGGCGGACCTGGGTGGGTAATTTCTGCAGGGGGCCAAAGCCAAGCTGCACCATGTCGTTTTAATGCCTTATGTCATGCCCCATTACAAGCTACGGTAGTAGACTTGTTAGACTTTACTTTTCTGTTTTATAACAAAAATACATGGTGAAATCAATAGAATCAGTTCATTCTAAACCAGGACGGCTTTTGCCCCAGTTCTGAGATACAGGCTGAACGATGGGGCCAAATACTCCACAGAATGTACTTGCCCACCTTCCAATAATGATATAAATCAGGGCCTGGATGGCAGAGGGACAGTGAGCCGCAGAGCGAGGCCTACATACCCCATTTAGGGTTAGGGTTAGAGCCAGGCCTACATACCCCATTTAGGGTTAGGGTTAGAGCCAGGCCTACATACCCCATTTAGGGTTTGGGTTAGAGCCAGGCCTACATACCCCATTTAGGGTTTGGGTTAGAGCCAGGCCTACATACCCCATTTACTTCCTACGAGTACAGGACAGGCTGCATGTCTGGTCCTATAGTCCCCTTCCCCACTTCGGAACAGGTTGTACCAGAAGACTGCAGTCCCCTGTGGAAGGAGGAGCACAGGGAGTGTTGAGCTGGGGGGGGACACTGAGGGTTAGGCAAGACCTTGGTCTCTTGCCGTGGATGGACTGGTGGAGTAATGGGGCAGTGTAGCGCTTACCTTCCGGGGCAAGATGGCAGCACCAAAGTCTGGGAACACCGTGGCCCCCCCGGCTTCCACGTCACTCATCTGCCAGGAAACAGCGATGCGTCAAATGATATGGTTTAGGCCAGTGTTCCCCAATCTGGTCCTTGGGGACCCACAGATGGGCCACCTTACTGGGAGCTGGGAGGGAGCAAAAATGTGGACCGTCTGGCAGGGGGCTGGGAGGGAGCAAAACTGTGGACCGTCTGGCAGGGGGCTGGGAGGGAGCAAAAATGTGGACCGTCTGGCAGGGGGCTGGGAGGGAGCAAAAACATGGACAATCTGTGGGTCCATGAGGACTGGATTGGGAAACACTGGTTTGGGCTGCTAGACCTAATGCTGTCCATTAGTAAAAGTACTACTTGGGTAGGTTTTTCTCTTTCCAGTTACAAATTCCCAGTAACGGCAACAAATCCTGCTTTGTTCTTGTGATTTACAAGAAACAGAAACATTGTTTGTATCTATGATAGAAATCGAAAGAAAAACTCAAAAAGCCCAGAGCCAAAAATAACAAGGAAACTGGCATAAAAGAAAGATAAGCCAAGCCCAACATGTAGTGAACAGCTTGTGGGAGTTTTACACAAAAATGTTCTGATTGGTTGGTCCTGCCTTCTCTAGTTGCATAGACCCACATCCTCTACAATCTGATTGGACAACTCTCTGAACCGATCATTTTTCTTTCTGCCCACATTTTTGCGTAAGTAAAACTCCCACGAGCTAGCGAACATCTACATGAAACGAAGGAGGAGCAGGTGTGTGCAGGAAAAACGAAACAAAAACAAAATACGGTGAAAGGCGGCAGTTTTAAAAACAGCGACAATCAGCAAAAACCTGGCACTGTTTCTATCTGGCTCAACACTACTGGCTTTACTGTCTGGCCTGTGATGACTGTCTACAGTGCACTGAGTTTCCCTCCCCCAAATTTTACATATAATTTAACACATTCAAGAGCTCTTGAATCTGCCAGGGTATCCGTGGCCCTGCTGACTAAACACATACAGCTCGTCACAAAGTCGTTCCAGATTTGGCTGCAAAAAATATGTCCTTGAAAATCTGGCCCCATCAGTAACCGTAACATCTGCCTCATGCTCCCTTTCCCATAATGCATCACTGTCAGGCTTTCGCTCTGTTTTAAAACGCTCACGACGTCCGCACAAGCGATTTCCGCAATATGTACTGAAATTGACTGACGCATGCACCTCTCGGATGCGCACTAAATCACCCAGCGTGTTGCGGTTCTTTTCATTCCTCCGCATCACGGCGTTGGAGCTGTTAATTTTACCGTAACCCCGTCTTTTGCAATGGAGGAATTCATACGAGAAGATCAGTCAATTAAAGTGCAATATTGAAAAGACTATGAGAATATAGCCAAGGGCCTAAGACAGAGTTTGATATTGGGAGGGGACACAACTTTATCTTTTAAATGGAAATATATATTTTTTTTTGGGGGGGGGGAGCCAATGAAGCCAAATATTGGGGGGGCGCACATCTCCCCGCCCCCCCATGGCTGAAAACAGCCATGGTTTTCCCCCGTAGACACAAAAATCAACCGTCGACTTTCCGCAAAAATACTTACATAGTTTAAAAAAGTAGCCACGCGATTTCCAGTCCCTAATGATTTGAAAGCATCAGGCTCATCTTTCTATGAAGATAAAATTGCAGAATAAATGGAAGGAAGCGGTGGCGAGTCCGCGTCCGGCCCGCGCACGTACTTACGTAGTTCAGATAGGTTGCAAGCCTATTTCCATCGGTCCTGAACACGCTGTCAAAAGGACGCTGTAACAGAGGGGTGTATATTTACGCCAGGTCTTTGATCACCACCCCCCCTCCTGCTCGAAAATCCCCAGCAAAGAAACCTGCTGCTTTTGGGTGGAGCCAATTCAGCAGGTGTCCTTCTTTGATAGATACAGGAATATATACACAACACTGCCCACATTACGATGGGGTTACGTTCCGATAAACCTACTGTAAAGCAAAAATATCGTAAGGCAAAAATGCATTTTAAAATAGTACGTCTAACCTAACAAACGTCATAGCCTAGCCAACCTTAAACATGCTTAGAACACTTACATTAGTCTACAGTTGGGCAAAATCATTAACACAAAGCCTATTTTATAATAAAGTGCTGAATATCTCATATAACTTTTATCGTAACATGGACCATCGTAACCTGGGGAGCGTCTGTATTTAGACACGGTGGATAAGTGTAATCAAATACAACATTCTTTTGAATATACTTTGGTAGATCTTTGTTCAAATTCACTAATGATTAATGACCATAATGTGGGCTGTATATGTGGTATAAACTGGAGAAAAAACTGCAATATTCAAATTTGGGGAATATTTATTAACTTGGTAAGTTTACATATGATTTTTTGACCAATGGAAATAGAGAAACAACAAGCGTTAGCCATTAATGTTTACCAGAGCACATTTAAGAATTCTTATACTGAAACATCTTCACAGTGATTAGACACATTGTAGTAAAATGTTGGTCACACTGCATGTGGTAAAGGCTATACGTAAAAAATCACAGGCCGTTACAATAAAAACGTTTCACCATTTCAGACTTAAATGCTGACTTACCATACAGAAGTACATGTTCACATTATATGTATATTAAGAGATGTATAAAACACAAAGTACTCTCTAAACATCTCCGCATCTCATTAAACCTCTCACTTACCCTCGAGAAATCAAAGTGTGGCTCATATTGGCCTCCAACCCCGTAGTTTGCGACCTGTTTGGCAAAAAAACATACAGAATATAAACTAAGAAGCTACAACTTTAGGACGTGAGGTTGCTTAGCAACGCCCTGCTGAGGTCATCTCAGCTGGAATCCTCTGCTTTATGACATCATGCCGAGCATGATGGGAGATACCTGCAGGAGTTCCGCTGTGGCCACTGAGAGGCCGGTGATATCTTCGATTCTCTGGTTGACACGTGCAATCACGGGGTCCACATCTCCTTCTAGCCAGGCACTAGAGACCGGAAATGAGACTCACAACTCCGACCATACCGACATCATGGCAGCAACTACAACGCACTAAGGACGAAATAGCATCAGCAGGACTGCTATCGCTTACCTTTTGGATATCCTGTATTGGGCCACAGTCAGAACTCCAGTCTTTGGGTCTCTAACAGTTGCTCTTGCAAGCTTTCGAGGGAAAAAGCAATAAAGCAATGAGGAAGACTATCCCAGGAAGCATATCGTACAAGGCTGGTTGCCAGACCAGCACATGGCACATGCACAAATACACAATGGACAATTTAAGGGTGGAATTTAAAGACCCATCTTAAAAGGCATCTTTAACCCCCCCCCCCCCCCCCGACCCTGGAGGTTACCTACCTAGGAACCATACAGTCCAATAAAGTAAAATTGATTACACTAAAATTTAATTATGCTACCCAGAAAAGAGTCTTAGTCAGGTTGGCAAAAAGATGCCTAGCGCCCCCTGCAGGCTAACCCGGGGTTTGGCCAGCTCTTTGATCTTCTCTATCTCCGCGTCGGACAGCGTGTCCAGGAAACGCACGATGTGTGGGTTGTCCCACTCGTCCTCCTGCTTCATGGGAGCCAGCAGCAGCCGCGGGTTCCGGTTGCCGTCGTTGTAGCGGCAGAAGAGCCGGCTGCGCCTCGCGGGGGTCTGCAGACGATCTGGGGTCAGTTGAGGCTGTTTTACAGACCGTGCCACCTTGGCACCGGACCCGCTGTCGCAAGACAGTCACGCTCCAACCATTGAGCACAGAGTAGCATGTCATGCAAGCTACTCGGGCCACATTCATTATATATAGCAAAAATCATCAAATAAATAAGCAATCAGAGAGATAAACAAACAAACAAACAAACGGACACGTAAATTCACAAACAACCTAAAAACGTAAAACATGCAGACTTCAATAGATTGCCTAACAGCTGTAAGATAAGGTGCTCTGCATTGCTCTGCATTGCTCTGCATTGGCATTCGTTAAACATTCTAGAACTGCCTCTGATTTAGTAAAAACATCTTGGAAAATAGTGACTGGAAAAAACATTTGCATAATAGAATTAAATGAGTAATTCATAAAAATGTGCTTAAATGACAATGAGTTTCTGCTTGCAGGGGATTCCTCACCCGTAAGTAGAAACATGTGCGTGAGCTTAGTATGACTTAAAACTGGTTCCAATTATTTTCGAAACTTGCTATTGCTCTACTAGCGAAAGCTAATTGGCTGGCCCAACCCTTTTTGGGGCGCTAAGCAACATTTGATTTAACCTAGTTATTGTTTGTCATCCTCCTTCTCATTCAGATAGGCTGATCAGATAGGGCGCTCCCTGGTGGCCACTGGAGCCTAAGCAGCCGTTTGGATCGCTCATGCCTTGGGGCAGCCCTGCCTCTAGGGGCCCCCCTTCTTTCAGACGCTCACCAGTTTGATACCCTCTCCGCGACACAGGGCTTCGTACGTCTCTCTCTCGGGCAGGTAGTCCAGGGGCCGGTCGTAGGTACCCAGCTGAATTGGCCTCTCCTCGGAAGGGTTCGGCTTGGCCCTCTCGCTCTCCCTCAGCTCTTTCTGAAGCAGCTTCTCAAAATAGTGCAGGTTTCCACCCGCCCTCTGGTGGCTGGGATCTGTTAATGAAAGCGGGAAAAAAAAACTTTGTCAGATTACAGTGTATGGCGCCCTCTTGCAGCAACCCCTGGTGTTGCAATACTTGGAACAATTACTAAAACCTTATGCATTAAAGAATTTTTAAAAAATTAATAAATCTGGATATTTTAAATAAAATTTAAAATGATGCAAAGAGACGTATACATAAAAAAATATGCCTCAAAAAATATACGTAACTAATATTACTGCGGCTCCCTAATGTTCCGCACAACCCGCAGCATTTCCACCGAGGGCTAAAATTAAATTCCGCAGCCCAATAATGTCATTCCGTGGGATCGCTCAGAGCGCCATTCAGGGTGGAGTACAGGAAGGAAAAACTCTTTTTCAGTGTCTCCCGCCTCTCAAACAGGGCCCTCCATGCACAACTTTAGGTAAAGCTAAATGGAAAAATAGCCTACACCCAATTACACCCTTTAGACAATGATTACACCCTTGGTGTCCTGGTGCTATAAACTGCAGCCAATAGACGGCCAGAGGGCTTTGCAGACACTCTGCTCCTTAGGCAGGCAAATCAGCAGGTCAAAGGGGGGAGACAGAGGACAAAGGGGAGGGGGGGGTGCAGGAAAACAGTAAAAAGGGAACACATTGGTTAGCGGGAGGACCTTTTAGCTCGACAAGTAGAATTCTGTGCTAACAATGCAAAGGTCACAGGTTCGAATCCCAGGGTACATGCATAGTGATTGTAGCCCTTCCCTCTACTGTGAGTCGCGTTGGATAAAAGCGTCAGATGAATGAATACAAAAGGAAACTCGCAGAGATAAGCCCCACGCTAGGGTCAGGGGGGGTGAGGACCGCGTACCCAGGGCCACCAAGCGCCGGGTCAGCTCCACGGCCCGCTGCAGGTCGCCCATCTGGTAGACGGAGTAGCTGAGGTAGTCCAGCACGTCGGCCTTGGAGACCAGCGCCTCCTCACCGGCATCCAGCTGCCGCAGCGCCTGCTGCATCCACAGCACCGAATGGTAGTAGTCTACATCGTTGTAGGCCGTCTTGCCCATGTCGTAGCAGTCGTCCACCGTCAGCTGGCTGTTATAGCGCACCCCTGAGGACGGAGGCGGTACTTTACGGACCCACCTTTTTTCTCTTGCTCTCAACTCCGCTTGAGGTTCTCCTACTGTTTTCTCAAGTCCACTATGAAGTTACTTTCAATTTCATTTTAATAACACTTAATTTATTTCAATTACCCTCTTCTTTTTTCTGTTGCCTATTGCTTTATATTTCCTTTAATTTCAATTTTCTTATTCCCTGTACACACATTTTCATGTCATTTTATTTCTATGTTTTATATTTTACTATGCTATCCATGTTTTATTTATACATTTTACTCTGTATGTAGTATTTGTTAATTAATTCTTTCTAAACTGGAAAGTACTTTGGGTCAACTGTTGTTTTTAAATGTGCTACATAAATAAATGACTTGACATATTATAAATGCAGCATTAATTTATATGAAATATGTACTGAATCCACCCATAACGCAATGAGGTCTATTTAACAGTATTGTACTAAGTGCAACAAATGTATTAAAATCTTTCAATCATGGCTGTGCTGTAATTTAGACCTGTGTTCATACAGTGCCAACGAAAACCATGCTGTTAATAAATAGTATCTGTTCTATTTTGATCAGTACTATTAACCCATAAATTCAGTATTAGATGTCACCATGACTTTGTAGCAATAAAAAAATCCCAACTGAAATATATTTCACATCTCCCCATGAATTATTTACCGCTTACTTTAAATCTAAATCCCACAAGCATTTTATGAAGCGTACTTCTTCCGTACTAAAGTACTAAGCCCCCCCCGTTTCCTATATTTCTAGAGAAAACCTTTGCCTGACAAACATTCTAATATGCTTGCAACCACACAAGCCACAAAAATGGTTTCAACAAGCAGATTCTGTGAGACTTGGAAGTGCATTTGGCGTGCTCCTCTAATCCAAGACATACGGTACTTGGAACTACTCCACGGAACTCCTCCGCAGGCACCAGCTGACTCATAGTGGCCCTCTCCCCCGATTACCTGGCAGCTTTCCCTTGGAGAAACTCTCAGAGTCCAGCTTGTACGTGTCCTGCAGGCGCATGAGGGCCTTAGCTGCACCCTTTTCATCCTCCTCGTCAGGGAAGTACTGTCGGTGCACCGACATGTTGGCGATAAACCCTGAACAAACGGATTATCGATAAATACAGAGCATACCTCCGCAGGAAGAGCTGAATATTCTGTATTAAACACCTGCTTGTAAAGAGCACTGTATTCGGTGTTATTAAAAATGTGTTTTTAGAGCAGTGATTGTCACACCAGTCCTTGGGAACCCACAGACGGTCCACATTTTTGCTCCCTCACAATTCCCTGGGAGCTGGGAGGGAGCAAAAATGTGAACTGTCCCTGAGAAGCACGGTTTTAGAGCCAGTGTATGCAGGTCGTTTAAATAGCATGGGAATTATACCCGCGTTCCTAAATTTTGTGCGTAAGTGTGACTTTTGCATTCAAGCTAAAGTGACCTATTGTGATATTTTCACTATACCGACTAAGGTAAATATTTACGGGCAGACGGCAGCGGAGACTGATGAAGGCGAGAAGGTAAATGAGAGGGAAAACGTGCCGCCACACTGGAAAAGGGTAACGTGAAGCTACGATGTCGAGAGAGACAGCAGGAGACAGAAGCTTAGAGTAAACAACTATCAGCAGCTGGTTCGCAGACTGTTGAGTAGGCAGGAGGTCAAACAGATGTGAGCGCTTGTGTCCAGGCCTGTCACTATTCTCGCCAAAGTGGTGGCGCTTAAGGACCCCCCTCCCTGCCCCCTCCCCAAACCGAAGGGCATCTTAGCACCATACCGTCAGATGGATTCTGGAGCACCAAGCTCTCCAGGTCGGACCACTCGGTGTTGAGCCTCTTCACCAGCTTGTAGGCGTTGACGGGGTGTGCCAGATAGCCCTCGGGGTCCGAGGTGGACATTCGTGTCAGCCTGTCTAGCTTACTGGCCCAGCTGATTAAGTCAAACGGAAAGAGGCGCGTGACTGTCACAATCACACAAAATCTGCTCCAGTATCTATTAGACTCTGACTTAACATACATATTTAAAAACAACATTTTAATGAATTAACCATTAGCTACGAATACATTTTCTATATATACACATCTTTAAAGGAACTCATAGACCAAGAGGTCTACGCTCCACATCTACCACTCCCTGATGGAACATCTCCCATTTCTGCTTCTCACTTCTTCCAATAACAGCTGGACAAATATCACGGGCCCAGAAAGCAAAGGTGGAAAGTTCAGGTCCAGAAAGTGCAAATCCAGACCAAGATTTTGTTTTAACCAGTTGAGTTACTCTGTGACTGCGACTCTTTACACTCAAGCGGTCGGCTGAACCAAAACCTTGATCTGGATTTATAATTTCGGGACCTGAACTTTCCACCTCTTCCAGGAAGACCCTCGACGAGCAGCTCCCACATGTGCAGACGACATCGAGCACAGCTACCTCTTGACAGCCGCTAGCTTCGACTCCTCGGCTTGGATGTACTCCTTCAGGGACTGAACCAACTCCTTCTCCGTATATATCAAGTCTGTCATTTGTCCTAAGGTATGACACGGAAAAAAAGGAAATAAAATTGTGATACTTTCCCCTGAAACAGCTGGCAATAGTCTGACTTACAACAACACAACAGACAAACATACATATTTACTTTAAGGAATCTTCCAGTTATTTAACAGCTGTTTTTTTCTACTGTTTTCCCTGGCTGACGGTGATAATTTTGCCATATGCCAAACAAAGACAGGTTCAAGCTTTCAAGCAGAAGCTGAGCTAGTTTGGTCGGTCTCACTTAATCTGTCCGCAATATTTACAAAACCCATGAGACTTTGGAAGTGAACGGCAATGAAAAAAGCTGGGGAAAACAATTCCATAGCAACCATCATGCAGATTGCCTGTCCGTGGCCAGAAAGGTGAACTCAAGGGCGACATCAATCTGGCAATAACAGGCGACGTAATAAATCTCTCACTGTACACACTGGATGCAGTGAGGACCAGGTCTTAGCCACTTTAGGGTTGAGGAAAGGTTGCGTAAACATTACAAAGGAGTAAGACAGGACATCTTCTGATACAGTACAGCCCAAACAACTGATAGAACAGAACAGATAAAACAAGTATCAACTATGGTACCAACTAAGGGAACAGTAGGGACATGGATACCCTGGTAGATTTAGGGGGACCTTCACGTTACAGGGGCCCTTCACATTACTGGGGCCTTTCACGTTACAGGGGCCCTTCACGTTACAGGGGCCCTTCACGTTACAAAGGACCCTGCACGTTACAAAGGGCCCTGCACGTTACAAGGGGCCCTTCATATTACAGGGGCCCTTCACGTTACAGGGGCCCTTCACGTTACAGGGGCCCTTGAGTAGGTAGAATTATAAAATAACATAATTGGGGGGCCCGAGGTGATATTTTGTCTGGGGGCCCAGAATTTATAGCTATGTGCCTGGTACCAACACTGTATTTTTTTAATGAAAACCTACCCCCGCAAAAAAGTGTTTCTGGAAAAACTCAAGGTTAATGACGGATGGATTTCGGAGGAGGGTGTTTGGGGGGGGAGGGGTCTCATATGCGGTATGAATGACAGACAAACACACAGTGTGCCCCCTAGAATGAGCAAACTGTCCGGCCCAAGACCCAGGCCTCTCCCCCTCCTTCCCACACAACAAACTTTCTTTATGCGCCTCTCAGCCGATTAACGGGGCTTGCCCCCACCAAACTCTCCCCACCCCTGAGACACCCCCCCTGACACATTTCATAAGAATGAGTTACAAAACCGAGCCTAATATTAATACGAGCCACCTGGGCTGGCAGAAAGTCGCTTATGATAACACACAGCATGTGGGGGGAGTGAAATGTCTGATCCGCTTGTGTATGGGTTCTAATGTCTAAAGGGATGTTAGATCTCGGCCATGTGTTTCCCACTGAAGTTATACTGCAGAGTGTGGCAAGTCTTCCAGGAAACGTGGAAAGGGAAGGGAGTTTTACATCCAAGTCAGGGACTCCAGTGGTGTTTTCAAAGACTATTCCATCTTCATCCAAGTTACCCCAGAGGGAACTTTCCAAAGAAAAGCTTACAAAATGATTCGGGTTCACCGTGCAAAAACAACACTGTAACAATTTTTTTTAACAAGATTAGCTGGAACTCTGTGTAATCTTGGCTGTCTGTGAGGTTCATCCCCACCCCCCCCCCACCCCCACGGTCTTCCATAATCTAGAACACAAAATTACCAATTGACGTGAAAATTTCTGCCCGTGAGGCCGAGATGAGCAGGAACAGGCCCAGGGAGATGAAGGGGGAATGCTTTTTCGTGGTCTTCATCATCTTCAAAGTGGAAGTGCCTGCAAAGAAAAACCACAAACGTAAATTAAAACCTTCAGCTATTTTTAACACAGTAGCATATTTATTTACCACAAGACTAAGCACCCTAAAACACACAGAGATGGTCGATGTAAGGCTTAATGCACGACAAGCTGAGCATTATACATTTTCAATCGTACAGCCGCGAAGACAAAGAATCAACCCAACACGCATTTATTCATTAGACACCTTTCTTCCACCAACAATTCAACAATTCAATTCAATTTTCCGTTTAGTTTCTTTTAATTTTAAATTGTTCTATGGTTGGAATTTTACGTAATATTAGTCAGAATCAAAGACTGTAACAGAACTTTGATTTACTACGTTGACTCGCCTGAGACAACGTGTGTGGTTACAGGAAATCAATCATCTCCCTTCTGACCAATGAGAGTTGAGAATGCAATGGTGCTGTGGCATTATTAGGTGTTTATTAACAAAAAATGCCTGATACTTTGTATTCATCCATAGATCTTCATTCATAATTTCAAACAGATTCCCCCAGGGTCACAGCTGGCTGGGGTAACCTACAGCCACTGCCATCTCGAGCTAAATCTGGCTGTGGAACTCCAGGGTTGAATTGTGGCTGGCCAACACATGCCTGAGGAAAAATATCTGCAGACGATGTCAGGAAGCAGCACACAGCCAAGCAGCAAGCAGAGTAAAAGCTACACCTGGGTCTGAGCAAATATGCTCCAAAAATTGACACGTCACAAAAAAAAGGCCCCATTTTTGAAAAACATTACGGGCCATCTATTTGGTGATTAGTAGATGCTTTTGAGCTAATCACTAGGGATGAAGATGAGGTTTGGTTTGGGGATTGGTTTTGGGATGAAAGAATGAAAGTTTTTATAACTTTAGTTAATTTTTCGCAACGATAATTTAGTTCTGGCAACATAGTAATCTTACCTACATTTCAACCACTGCATTCCTCCAGTCTTCCACAAGTATAATGAAACACAGCTCAGTCCTTACATCATCTTATTTAGCCTGAAGCACATGGCCCTCTATACGGTTTTCTTACGAGGTTGACCTGGATTAGCATTTTCCACCTAGATGCTCACTGTGCCAGCTGAGATGGAAAGGACCCCTTCCTGAACCATGACACCACAGCGGGGCAGAGCCATGGCAAAGCAGGTCATTTTGCAATAAAGGATAGCCATAAAGGATAGCCATAAAGGATAGCCATAAAGGATAGCCATAAAGGATAGCCATAAAGGATAGCCATAAAGGATAGCCATCTCCCCAACTCTTTGCACTCTTATCAGTAACTGTGCATGGCTAATTTCCCCACCCTGGGGCCTACGCAAACTCTGGCTATAGAGGAGTTCTGAATTCCTGAGCGCAGAGTCAAGAACCACTGATTTGCTAGCGGCATATAAAAGGCACACAGTGGAAGTGAGCGGACTCACACTGTCTTTGCGAGCACAGATGTTCACCATAAACACCCAGTAACTGCTCTGAGCTTATTTTAATTATCAGATTTGCATGCTGGAGTTGTATAACACTTGATATTGTTACTCTTTTGGGGGGAAAAAAAAACAGAATCTATGCAATTTCGGCTGTCGACAAATTCACTTGCAGTGAATTTCAAGAGTATAACATCATTCACTGTTAAGTATCCAGTGTCACAGTAGTCCTGCACTTGGTTAACAAACAGTGTTTCATTGCCAAGTTGACCTTTTTTCTTGGTAATTATTAAACAAATTTTTTAAACTAACTAGATTCCTGCCACCCCGTAACCGTGGAAGTGTCACATTCATCTACATCACAATCGCTTAACTTGGACTGGGTCACGGGGGACCTGGAGCCCATGCCAGTCACCCCCCCCCCCCCCCCCCCCACCAACCACAGGGAATTTACCAGGAGTGTTACTAGAGATTTATGAAGGGGGTGCTAATTCTTTTTAGGGGGGGGTCTTATAGAAATGCCCCACATTATTTAAACAAATTTATTCATCTGGGGGGGCTAAAAACATTTTGGGAAGGTTAAAGCCCCCCTAACACAGCCCCCTGAACTTTACACTGATTAGCCTAACTGCAGGTCTTTGGCTTCTGAGGGCAAGCCAGAGTATCCAGGTGATACGTGCACAACACAGGAGAGAGAGCCTGCAGAATCCACACCCACAAACAAGGCAGAATCCACACCCACAAACAAGGCAGAATCCACACCCACAAACAAGGCAGAATCCACATCCACGACCCAGCATTTGTGCCACACATGTGTATGTCATTGTGGTCTTAAAATGATAAATTAATAAAATCTGCGTTTTTTTTTTGCACACACCCACAAGGCATAAACAAAAGCATTCCAAGTGTCAGATCCTACCCCCGACTAGCCTGTCACTCTGTGTCTGCTTGCATTAATGAATGCTCAGCTGTTCCCTCCATCAAATACCTTACAGCAGCCTCAGTCTCAGGCAGACTGAACACAAAGCAGTTAATTCTCAGGCCTGTTCCGCTGACACAGTGTTACCAAGATATACACAGATTCTTCTTACCGGTAAAAATTCAAGCACGTCCTTATCGCAAAGAATTCAGCCTGTTCATATTCGCATGTTCTGATTGAAATTTTCTAGACTAATATGAAATATTCATTTCGCCAAAAATACTAGATAAAATGCACACAGGTTCCAGAGAAGTCTTCTTAAGTACTTCATTTTATCTGTCCTGTATCCATTACCAAGGTTCATCGCATTGCTACAATGAACTCAGCGATAGGACAATATGGGAGACTGTGCCAGATCATCTCCGGTCCCAAAGGTCCTCAGGGATTTGAGCTTTCTGATCCACAACATGTACTTGCAAGTCAATGTTACAGCTTGTAATCCAATTAACCAGGGTGATTTTTGTATCGTGGAAAAAATATGTGAACCATTCGTCTTTATTCCCCCGAAACTGCCGCCAAATTAAACATCTCCCGAATTCCTCCTAGGCACCCAAAGTCACCAAAGCGTTGACCGCTTCACAAACATTCTGCTGGACATCACGATCACCACCTGCGGTTCGCGTGTAAATCTAAGCAAACACCCAAGCTTCACCACACAGCCTGAAATTTATTGCATCAAATGCTCCAGTCAAATTAAATGCGTTGACGCACATTTTTGTCCGGTTTCCCCCAAGGACGTAGAGTATGCTCCAAGGTATAAAGTGTCCATCATTTACTACAATCTTATAGAACCATAATAATAATAATAACAACAACTGAAAAGCAGATACTCCAAAAGACTCAAGTTTTATAATACATATGAAATTACGATATGTAAAGTGACACCTCATCAAGAGAGCAAGAATTTATGCACAACACTTTTACACACGCGAGGCTTGGATAGACTTGTCTGGGCAGAGACCTACGGCCGTTTGCTGGCGAGTTATTAATACAAGTACTTATTTTTAAAAGCAGTTTTTTCTATGAACTTTAATTCACCTCATGCGTTCACACAGGGGTGCGGACTGGAGGAGGGGACACGTATATCCCCCAATATTCAATTTGGCTTCCTCCACCCACCCCCCCAAAAATGTACTTTTACAGTTAAATTTGTAAGTAGACCCCCCCATATCAAACTCTCGCCTACGCGCTTACTTTTACATTCACATAACCTACTGTTCGTCGTCATCCACGTTGATTTGGGACGCTGATCTGGCTGTAACAAGCCTATAAGGCAGCTGCCTGATGACTTATTCTAGAGATATCGCGTGCTACTTCAGTACGTTTGTTGCTCGTTTTTACTTTAACTGGTACCTTTTCCAGTTGCATTCATGACGCATATCACTGTCCCCATAAGCTGCTTAAGAAAGATTTTGATTACCCTCCCCTCCACACACACACACACACACACACACACACACACACACAAGTGTAGAATTAGTAGTAATAATTCTGGTTGGAGAAAAGCAAGAAGAGACGAAACACTGTAAATAAATGTGCCAGATTCCATGTGCAATCTGCAATCCCCCCATTTTTCCAGGTAACGGGGTTCTACTCTACACTCTGAAACGGTGCCACCCCCCCTCCCCGGCCCCATGGTAGCCTGAACATGGTACAGATGTTTTCTATATTAATACAAGAAGCGCGGCGATACATGTATGAAATCTGGAAACAAAATAAACTGTAAGTTCTTATATGTATAATTTTTCAAGGCAATAACAAACGTTTCTGCTGGTTTTCAACTTCCAAGTGTTAAAATAGATGTAAAAAAAAAAACTTTCCCGCAGCTGTCGTAATTCTTCCACGGCAGTCCGAACAGGGCTACGGTATGGGGGGGGGGGTCGGACAGTCCGCTTAGGGATATTTCTACAAACAACCGACAACGCGACAGACGACAAATGTATCTGTCGGCAAATATTTCGCTGGAACATCAGCGAGATGCAGACAAAACAGGCAAAACAATGTCAATCACAATTTACTAAATGTTAAGCATATTACTTAACAGGCATGTTACAAAAAACATTATTTCGCTTCGAAATTATTTCAAACTTATACATACCGAAAAACATTATTATTATATTATTATAATAAATGATAGCTATTCAGGTCTAAACGGGTATATTTAACATCAAGTAACTTATCGACTGTAAAACTGCGACAATGTTTCCGAGTAAGTTTTTTTTTCTTCCAAGAAACTCGTACACCGCGTACCAATGTTACAATGTAACAGCACAGGACTCCGCATGTCAGCCAGTCCCATCGCGCCCGACGCGGCTAAAGCGGATTACCTTCGCTTCTCCTTCGGAAACGCAGCCTACTGGACCGTACCTCGCGGTGCAGGACTAGCACGGGGCTCCGTGATTCGCACAGATTTCTTCGGTGCCACGTATGGACCCTCCCCCTGGGTCCCAACCATCACTTTGTAATCCTCCTAAAATATGCGCAACGTTTTTCCTGCGCCGCCCATTTAGCGACATTGCGTGGCTGACCCTTTGCACGTAGCTCGGAGCATCGTTGTTTTTTTCTTGTTTTTAACAAGGTGTTAAATTAATAGATTAATAAATCCGTAAATCATAAAACGACAAACAAATTTAAGAGGACCGTCTCGATAAGACCTTAAAAAAACAATGAATAACGTTCCGTACATCAATCCACTCTTCAACACTTTCAGAAAAAAGGATAAAAATTTGTACCTTTGCTTGTCACTGGGGCTGTACCCCCAAGGGTAACTGTACATTTTAAGGTACAGAAATGGACTCTGTGGAACAATAATGCTGTTTGTACCTTTGGGATGTTCCTCAGAGTCCATTTATCTACTTTAAAAGGTACAATTACAAGGGTACAGCCCCAGTGACAAAGGCACAAATTTTTACCCTTTTTCTGAGAGTGAACCTCTTATCCTGAAGCTTGTCTCAGGTTTTGTACACGGTGCACATTTTCTTAATGTTGGAAATTATGATGATTGTGTTTACTATATGTCATTTTAGTATCCCCGTGGGCAAATGACGGCTGGAATCTAGAGAGGCACTTAAAATTACCTGCTGCTACATGATCAAAATTACAAAATGACTCCAGTAATATTCCTAAATATGTCTTTTAATATAATATTTATGACAACAGCTGTGACAATGGTATTGATCGTATTTTAGGGTGCTGTCTTAAAAAATGTATTAAGATCACATCTCTTTTCCTCAGACTACTACTTATCTGCCAGTGTCTGCAGGGTGGTTGATAGTTGTAGCTACTAAAAGCACAATAGAGAAAAACCTTCCTGAGCAAAGGCTTATCCTTCATTTTTATATCAGATTTTCACTTGAAACTGCATGTAATGACGTGAAGAAATATTACCCGTGCAGGTATAGAAAATGGATGGATGGGTGGATACAGTAGGTTACTTTTCTGTAATACGACCAGATTCAGGGCACAAAACAAGATATCACACAGCAAGAGCTTCGAGAAGAGTAAGCCACTGTTGAAGTATTAACAAAGAAATAGCTTAATAATATGGGAGGACACATTACCTAGCAAATAAAAGCTAAGGCTATTTAAGACTTGCAATAGGCAGGCCCGCGGAAATCTGAGAGGAGTCAGATTGTTTAGTGTATATATAATACAGGTCTACGAGCAGCTTTGAACAGTACCTGGGCCGTATTGTACCCATTTATGTTCACTCCATTCTCACCAGCGCCCCCTGGTGGCGAAATATTTTCCCAACTTCTGTTAGACAGTTAGTGACATACAGCCATGGGCATACATTATGGGGGTTGTAATCCCCCCCAATAATCACAACCATCGAATACACCCCCCTGAACTCCCCTAAATAGGCGGAGACCTCAACTTCCCCCAATGCTCAACCCAACGATTTAATCTGCATGTAACTTAATCTACACATAACTCTCAGTCCACTGTGTAATTAATATGCATTTATTATATTTTATTATTTAGAAGGGAAATTATGATTTAAAATATTAAGGTCACAGTTGATGTATACTGTTATACATTGTGATATATACCTACTGATATATTCACTTGTATGTCCCTTGGACAAACGCGCCTGTTAATATGTAAATGTATATACCGAAACGTGGACCGTTATGTTGAGTGAATTCAATTTGTCCAATAGAGGGCCCTGTAACATTTCAGCTTCTTCCCAATCATTTCTCATTTTCTCCACTCGGTGGAAGCAGTGTATTGGGGAATAAGAAATATGTTACATCTAAACAGGCTGAATAGTTTGAGGTACTATTTTTTAGGCTTAAAAAGTAAAATTCCAAATTGTGTCGCATTGTTACAGGCAAGTTCAATTACCCGGAATATCCACGTCTAAATTTCGCTCCATTGTTAATACTTAATGCACATTTTTAAAAATACTACAATAGGAATGCAATTTGGCTGAATTCAGTTGTTTCACGTAATAATCTATTTCCATTATTATTTGAATGGATTTTTCTGCAGCAGTTTAATTTTTATTAAGGCTTCTGTAAATGTTAAATGCATGACTCAAAACGGCCAGCAGGTGGAGCTCGTTGATAACATGAAATGGGTATTTTTTTTCAGGTCCTATAAGTACAACATAGTATTAAAATTTAACGTTATGTTTTGATTTTGTTGGGTTTAATTTTAATAATTATTTAAAACTAAATTTTCATTAATCTCATATTTCACATAAATTGCGTCTGATCATTTTTTTATTTTATGTTACTTCTATAGAAAGGTCAAAGGTCAAATACTATGATGACCGTTTTAGTAGCCATTCGGCAGTGCATGTTTTCTCACATGCTCGATTTTTTACTCCCACGTTGTCCTCAGGGAGAAATAGGCCTATATATTGGATTTGCACTTAATTATTTTAATTCCTGTTTATATAGCTGGGAAGGCAGTTCAGGTTAGATTTAATTAAAAATCAGTGATTCCAGACGTTTACACTGAGTTCAGGGGAGGGACAGTTAAACAGCCGATTTTAGAATTTTGTTCACGAATATCACAGGAGCCACGATTAGTGTCAGACAGATAAATTATAAAGATTCATTATAACTTGACATTCTGAGTATTTACTTTATAATAATTGTGCCAGGTAACTGCATTTGCCAAGTAAAAAACAAAACAACACAAATAAATAAAAACAAATAGCAACACACTAAAATATCTTTTATTTAACGGGAACGGTGCTGATCTCTGGCCGCCTAAGCACAGCTTCCCCTGGATGTTCGCGAAGACACGGCCCGTCCTGCAGGTTGTGCAACGCTGTCGCCACAGGGTGTCGCTCAAAACACACGCAGAGCTTTCGCCTTTCACGGTTTTGGTGGTGCCAGGGAATATCCC